TTTGCTCAAAATCAACTTCCTCGATTTTCGCGGAGGCATCAATACGACAGTCATCGTCTCATCGGTCGCTGTTCAGAAAGAAGAGTTAAATATCGTCAGAAGTAACATAACGATTTATTATTGTAATATTTGTTTACAGACCTTAGTTTTCTTAGTTTGCTTAGTGATACTTGATTTATATGCTGGTGTAACAATACATAATACTCAAGTCAACAATTGGTGTTCTGGTTTTTTCGTCCGTTGTTACTAAGCGTTTCTCAGAAATCTTCTAAGAACAGCGTGGGCCCGAGCGTAGCGAGAGCTGGGCATTAACGGTTTATGAGACTTTGATGACAGAATTATGCTCCTGTCCATCTCAAGCAAAATACTAACCCGCATCATCCTAGAGAGAATCAAACACGCCACCCTGGATGAAAAACTTCGACCGGAACAAGCTGGATTCAGGAGAAACAAGTAATGTATTGATCAAATTGCCACACTACAGATCATCACTGAACACAGCCTGGAATGGCAGTCACTTCTCTATCTCAACTTCATCGACTTTGAAAAGGCCTTCGACAGCGTCGATCGAGAGGTGATTTGGCAACTACTTCGCTACTACGGGGTCCCATCGACAATTATACATCCCATCCAACAGTTATACGACAAGGCTGCATGACAAGTAATCCACAACGGGAAACTTACGGAAGCCTTCGAAGTGAGGACGGGAGAGAGGCAAGGCTGTCTTCTATAGCCAATGATTTTCCTGATCGCAGTAGATTGGATAATTTGACAGACAACGGGCAATGAGGAGACAGGCATAAAGTGGACTGTCAGCCACGACTCGTAAACCGTTAATGCCCAGCTCTTGCTACGCTCGGGCCCACGCTGTCGCTTGAAGTTTCTCAGAAACGCCTAGTAATAACGGACGAAAAAACCAAAACACCAATTGTTGACTCAAGCATACTTTATTGTTACACCAACATATAAATCACGTATGACTAAGGTCTGTGAACAAATATTACAATATAAATCACAATATTACTTCTGACGGTGTTTAACTCTTCTTTCTGAACAGCGACCAATGAGACGATGACTGTCGTATTGATGCCTCCGCGAAAATTGGGGAAGTTGATTTTGAGCAAACAACCATGAATTGATCGTTCAATCTTCAACTACATTGACATGGACTCACACAAAAAACTTGGATGATCTGGACTTCGCCGATGTTATATGTCTGATTTCCCACAAACTAGAAGATACGCAAGTGAAAATCAACAAGCTGGCAGAAGAAGCATCAAAGACAGGACTTCAAGTGAACATAGATTAAGCAAAGGTGATGAAGATTCCTGGCCAACAGCAACAACAACAGACAACAATCAGCATAAATAGGAGGAACTGGATGAAGCAACTTCCGTTACCTACCTGGGAAGCATCGTTTCAACTACAGGCGGAACTGACGAGGATATCAAAGCCAGAATCGGAAAAGCAAGGCAAGCTTTCATTACTCTCAAATCTGTGTGGAGGTCAACAGCACTCAGAATCAAAATTAAGACCCGGATTTTCAACTCCAATGTGAAGTCAGTGCCACTTACTATACGGATCAGAGACTTGCACTGCGCGTCATAAAGAGCATCTCAAACAAACTTCAGACCTTTATTAACAGTTGTCTTCACTCAATACTAAAGATCAGATGGCCGGTCAGAAAAGATCAGCAACAGGGATCTCTGGCAATGAGCGAACCAACACAGCAGGAACCGATTGTGAAAAAAAATAGGCAGGAAGAAATGGAGATGGATTGGCCATACGCTGAGGAAACCATCAAGTGACACCACTAGACAAGCCATTTTTCTAGTGGAACCCGAAAGAGAAGCGACGAGTTGGTCGTCAGTGCAAGGGTAACTTGGAGGATGTCATTCGAGGAGGAGATGAAAGCGTGTGGGCAGGCTTCGAGCGGAGTGAAAAAGTTGGCAGAAAACAGAAGGCAATGCAGACGCGCAGCTGAAGCCCTATGTTCCTCTAGGAATTAAAGGATATAATAATAATACACAGTTGGCTTATCCTCACTAAACTGACCATTGATATTCGTCCTTTCAAACGGACCGATACTAGCATAGTCACAGCACAAGACACCTGAGTTCATGGACGTCCCTTTCATTGTGGATGACAACACCAACGACGACTGACTGATACCTGTTGATGAACCTAGCGGTGCATCGGAAGCTGGTGTTGTTCGACCTTTAGAAGTCTGTCTAACCACAGGATTACCGCCGCTGCTATCCTTTCTGATTAGCTTCACTTTAGCATTAACATCTGTCGATAGGTGGGATACACGCTGATCATTTCCACTGAGGGTATCACGAGTATCCATACCTTCTGCAACCACGTCTGCCTTTAATTCTACTTCGTGTTCAAGTTGCACATAACCTTTGTTCAACCCAGTAGTAGCAGGCATTCCGTTTATCTCATCGTGATCAGCCAAAGACAAATCTGCACTATCGTGATCATTATCCCAAATATCTATATTACCGCCGTTTGTATGATCGACTTCATCATTTTCAAACTATTTAATAACAACGGCAGAGGATTTGGGTTCTTCCTTACAAATTCTTAAAGGTTTCGTACCTTTGCTCTGACCTGTAATACCTTGTAAGGTTGTGGAGTCAAAACTGGACTCTGAAACTGTAACTATCTTCTTCTGAACAAAATGTGGTGTCTTCCCTGATACTTCAACAATGGCATACCACTTAACTTTCTCAGCGTTTTACAGTTCACCTTTGTGTGCTCTTCATGCAATCACAAGCGTGTTTGTCTCGCAACTTGTTAGCTATCTGTTGGAGACGTCCCAAGGAAGCTGTTACACTCTCTGAGTTTATACATGGATAACTAGAAACCATAAAGCTTCCTCGATATTCACTTCGGTGAGACCCCTTCGTCATAAATGACTGTGTGTCACTCTCTGTCTTCTCTATTCCAGATGAGGGACAAAATATACTGGAAAACTTGCTCATAGCTTGGTTGACACTATCTTTTACTAGTTTCAGAATATCATCAAACTTTGGCTGAATACCTTCATCCTCTATACGAGAGCTTATCTTCACCCACTTCCTTTGCAGTCGTGTAAGTAGGTGTCTCGCTATTACCTCTAGGACGGAACTTATGTTCAGATCACTCATGCAATTCATCGAAATCAACGTATTCTTGTTAGTCATCAGATTATCCAAAACTCAGAGAGTGCCTTGGAGTCATCTTGTAATTGACTGCCATTACATTTAACAGCCTCGAATACGTTTCTTACAATCATCGACGGTCTTCCTAACCTTTGACGTGGGATACACATCGCCTCACTATACCCGTCGTTTCGAGACATAAACCTGCGACACTTTATAGCTCTTGCAGCAACACCAGTGCAGCACCTCACCAAATACATTAACTTCATTTCGTCATTTATTGCAAACCCACTCAACATGACTTCAAACTCCTTTACAAACTGTGGATAGTCAGCTGTATTTCCGTCGAAACGCCGAGGCTCCCTAGACGGAGAAACATGGACATCAATCTTATCATGCTTCGCATCACACACATCATTACATATAATAGGCTACTCATCATTACTTACTTACATAACGCTTTCTCCTTTCTTTGACCCAAGCATTGTTGAACTTGACCAGACTATCGAGAAACGTTCCAAATAGCACTTATCCAAAGAAGACTTGCAGACGCGAGGAACGACGAATTGACAACAAATAAGACGAATAATTCCAGGAGAACTATCAGAAACTGTCAGTGTCCAGGTCTAACTACACTGGCCTTCACACTGTCCTTGGAGGTCTTTCAGGAGCCATGCGTAATAACCAACGCAAATAACCAGAACACAAATCGGTGACTCAAAAACCGTTTATTCTTCCACCAATACAGGGCCAACAATTAGGTTATTGTACACAAAGTCTAAGAATAAATGTCATAACAATAAACCACAATAATACTTCTGATAGTTTTTCTCTGTCCTCCCACGAACAGCGAATTTTGAAACGATGACTGCTTTATCGATGACTCCCGCCAAAATACAGAGTTGGGTTTGAGCAAACAACCATGAATTGATCGTTCAGTCTTCAACTACATTGACATATGCAGTGTCAAGCTTCGCTAACTAAGACTGAAATACTCATCTAGAATAGTTCGGAGATACTGTTAATTTATGTTTTATTTAACCTAGCCAAAATGAGGGCACAAACAGATAAAAAACAGCTATCTTTCTGGATGAAAGTTCACACGTGTTGCTATTGAGAGCAGCATTATTCTTCATTAATTTACGTCATCAATAAGCATAGGACTACCAACTCGAATATGAACATTGGCTAACAGTGAGGTAGGGGGTGAATAACGGTTTATATAGTGAAACGTTAAGGTCACTAGTGCCAATAGCTTTACCAAATGTTTCGTTGTTAAAGTTGTGCACAAGTGCTTCAGTTATTTCTGCACATCGATTTATAGTTTCAGTCAGTTATCATCTCCTTTCTGATATAATTTTCAGTAAGAACGACTAAAATAGATTATTATTTCTGGATATTGGGGGACTTCAGAGCCATTTCTAGTTGAAAGATAAATCTGTCTGCATTACACGTCACACTACTGCGTTTTGAAGGTGTGATTTAAAAATTTCTTTAGAAGAATACATTATCGAATAAAGATAAACCAGAAGCAGACCAAATAAGGATTTCTTATCTTAACGTTAATTGTTTGAAAGTACTCTTAGTGATGCATATCGAAAATCCCAATATTTTTTGTTGAATTTGGTATTTATAACGCCATATGAATACAGTCTCGATTTTAATACGTGCAACACTGTTTAAAATTGCAAATGTGCATCAAAATTTTAATAAATCATAACCATTCCTTTTAGAAATGCTCTCTTACAAGGGCTCTTCTGACAAGGAAGCTCAGAGGATCTAGTTTTCTTAAAATGTACTAGCTTTTTGTTTCAGACTCCTATGTTTGACCGCGCATGACTTAAAACTGTCACATTTTTCGAGGTAAGTGTTGACTGTGTAGGATGTTTACAGACACAGTGTTTGTATTGTTCTGAATTTTATGTGTTTTCACCGACTTAAAATTTAATTTTTTCTCTAGCGTTTAGGTTACAGTTGTTTTTTGAAAGAGGATGATGTCAAATCGCTTAAAAATCTTCCACAACTGATAGTTTGTAGGTAACATTGTGAAAATGATTTCGTTCTGTCCAACTGTTTTCAAAGTGAAATGGAACTAGAAAATAGGTTAAAATGTCAGTGTCAGACATAATATGTTTTAATTTCCAATTAAATTTAGTTAATGTTAATTAGCTACATTGACGTTATGCTCAACATTGGGCCAGATGTCAGTGGGCTAGTGCCCTTGTTCCAGGCTATGAATGGATAAAATTCCCCTAATTCTCATTGTTTTGACTTCAATGCTTGGACGTATCAGTACTTCAATTTTTGTTTACTTGCTTCTTGGGGAATTATGAAGAAAACATTTAGAATCCTTTCTATGAAGTCTTGAATGAACAATTTATGAACACAAACTAATGCAGTTCATGATTAATTCTGATCACTCGAAAACAGACACGAATTTCCAAAAACTTATGACCAGTTAAACATACGTCATGGTTCGGATTACATATTATTCATTGAGGTCATTGATATCACAATGTCAACTGTTTTCTTGTAAATTTTGTGATGCTAACAGTTCGGCTTATTAAGGTAGTCTGTTGAGATTAAAATTATATTTCATATGGGAATTCCAATTTTCAAACTCGTATTATACTGCTCACACAATTCTTCTGTGCAAGTTGAGAACTTCATTTTATTTCAGAAACCACCTGTAAGTTATCAATTGCTGCAGAAATATCGGTCAACTACATCACTATTGGCAGCTTTCGTGGGTAAAATCAATGTCACTACCACTTAAACTATAGGTTTATTTGTGAAAGCCAAATGTCGATTTGCTGTTGAGTAGTTCTGAACAGTTTGATGTCAGTAATCGTTGACTTGAACCATCCCAAAATGTTTTGCAGAATTTCTTTACCTACTACTACTTAAATTAACATTGCGATACTTACGGATAGCAAAGAACTAAATTGGAGAATTCAAATAAGTTCATTTCATACTAAAACTTGCGCTGAAGATGCTGTCTGGAAGGGCACTGAAGGCCTTGCAAATGAATGAACCAGCTCAGAAATGACAACTTAATCAAAATTGGATTGTAGATAGTAATTAATGCTTTACATAACTCTTCTGGCCATGGAGCATATAGGTAAGAGGAAAGCGTTGAAATGCGAAAGAAACTAAGTGGTAGACAAATATTGTGCAGAAATGTCCGAGTCGGACTATTTTGAACTGTTGTGTTCTCATATCTAGAGCTCCACGCAGATATTACCAAGACCAACTGAGCATCATTGCGTCATAGCGTAAATCATCATGCCTCTACAAATTAAGCTCAAGGGAGGTCATTGTTTACTGGGTGTTATCAGCTAAACATTGAAGTCCATGGTTTCTTGGAATTATTTGCCTATTTAAACTGAAACCTCTCTAAATGCTACACTTGTGTTGTTGTAGTTCCGAAAAGGCAGGCTATGAAAGACTCTCTACTTTTTGTAGCAACCGTGGGATAAAAAAGCATTACTCCCAGCCTGTTAGAAGCAATTGATTATGTTGCCTCCTGTATAAGTTAGGCAATATTTTTCAAATTCAGGCAGTACTTTTACCACTCATGGGGTTTTGTCGGATACTTTGGTTCCTCTGCTTTAATAAGACAACCGAAATCTGGAGACACCAGTATCCGCTTGTCTCTCTAGCGTCAGGTGAATATCGATGCAGGCAGCAAAACGATCATGAAACCTATGTAGTTTTCGGGTTAGACCATATAAATATTTGTATTTACAAACAGGTTTATTTTGTCTTCGGGACTTTTTATTGTCAATTATATGATCTTCGCCATGTTTGTTTGCCGTGTACTGTAAAAATGCGGTTGTCCTTTATTCTGCTAAAAGTTTAGGATTCAAATATAGGTGTGGATTCAGTGCCGTAACTCAACTGCATTACAGTACCTCATTAGAATAGTAACAAGTCATGTTTTCTCTAAATATGTACGGCAAGGCTTTTAATGTTTCAGCTAATTTGAACTTTATATTCTCTACAGGTTAATACAGTTGTGCATCTTTTGTTTTTAGATCGCTGTTTCCTCAGGCAATAGTGGGTCACAATTCTGCTGCTTCTCAGTATTCTGTGAATCATGAAACCAGTCATTTATGGAATAATAAGGGTAGTATCTGACTTAGTGATCCTTCTTGGATGTAACTATCATAAATGCATTTATTAATTTCTTTTTATTTTCAGTAATCGTCATCAATAGTGTGTTACAGAATATTGAACCATATCATTGGGGATATTTTCCTCAAGATGACTCAATAAAGAAGCCTTATAAATCATCCACCATTCCAAGTTATGTTCTTTATGTAGTGTCTTCACTACTTATAGTCATTACGGTATTTCGTCGCCTATATCTCACAGTCAACTTGTTTATATTTCCAGATAGTCATAGGTGAAGTGTCTTTCGGTGCTAAAACTTTAAAGACAACTCGTAGAAAGATTCCAGTGGTAATTTACTTTCAATAATCGTTATGAATTTCTTCTTTTTTCAGATATTGTACCCAATATATGATTCTCTCATCGTTGCCTTTTTTGGTTATTTTGCTACTATCAGCCTTACGGATGTTGGAAAGGTTGCTTTCGGTCGCCTGCGTCCAAACTTTATCGACGCTTGCCAACCACAGAATCTTGTAAATACGACTTTAGGTTTTGTAAAGGAATTTTCCTGTGTAAACAGTAATTCTAGACCATTGAGGTAAGTTGATTTTTTACTTAGCAAAGACTTAAGGTTTAACATTTTCTTTATTTATAATTTCAACCACAGTCCAAATAAATCACTTACATACTTTCCTTTTTGAAAAATGGTTCTTAAAACCACTAGAATAACCTCACAGATTCATACAAAAAGTATTGGGGTGTTGTATTTATGTTGTAAGATTGCTGCAAAAGAACTGAGATTCGTCGGAGTAGGTTACTGTTGCTTTTTTGAACATCTAACTATTCAAAAGTATTACAGGGTTAGTTTCAGATATATATGTATGTAGTGAGGCTTTATGTTCACCATACTTACTAAAAGTCTTAGTTATTGGTTTCATGAGGATTTTAGCAAATTTAAGAGTGTATACTCTTTTCACTGATTGGTGTCTTTCTGCTTTGAAAATCAAATTTTTCATTGGACATGAGCTACTTTGGACGGCTTCGAAGAAGATAAATTTGACCAATGTTAGGCTGATAGTATGGAAAGTCACAATAGGCGAGTAAATAAAATTCGCTGATCCCACTGCAGATTTAGTATTGGGTATCTCATACTCTTGACTTTGATTCAATATTTTAATTTAATCCAATTTCACACCGAGCATTTGTGTCGAAAATACAAGTTTAAGCATTATGCATGATGTCTGATCCCACGTCAACTAGTCTTACATGTTGTAACAAATTAGGTTTTATGGTATTTTAAAACATCTTAGCAAAATATAGACGGTTTATTCAAGAGAAAAAGGGTGGAGGTTGGTATTATTGACAAGAAAAGTTAGATAGTGCAGTAATATGGGCAAGAAAATTTTATTTTTTACGTCGTTCTGTGAGAAAACAAAAGCTGCTGACTAAATGCCACCAAACAGAAGTATTCAAAAGCTTAGCTTGTAAGCGGCCCCTTTTTGAGACACTGAAAAAATGACTTCAGCAAGGCTACATTCAACAGGAACTGTTTACCAATTCTCAAAACGTTTTTTAACTGGAACAGCTGTCACCGACTCTATGTATTATTATCCTTCATTGTTTTAATTATCTCAGAACCTTTCTGTCTTTTGTTGTGATTGTACAGATTCTGTATCGAAACACTGATATGGTTTTCTGTATTTTAATCCAATGATCTTCAGCTGGATTATAAGTCATTAGCTAAATGTGTTGGATATCATAACTTGCTAAAGGTAAACAGGTAACAAGAGATCAAAACTTTTTCATGTTACCTAGTAGTGGTCTTCCCGTATCACAATCAAAGACTGTGACTTTCTTGTCGGTACCGAACGTCAGGTCAAAGGAAAAGCTACTTCTGAAGGCCGATATTAAGATAAGTAAAGGGATTATTATGCTTTTGGTATATATATTACATAACTGGCAGTTATCTTTGAGGTTATTACTGATAAAATCACCAAATCGTATGTTTCAACGCTAAAATTTAGGTATCCTAACTCCACAAATATTTCATCACTTATTTGTATAAAAGATAATCTATGATTCAGTTTCTGCGTCTTATTCCTCCGAGTTGACTATTGAGTGTACACATAATTCATTAATTCAGCCTTTCAAATGATTATCCATGTGTTTGTATTAATGGTGTTTAGATGACAAGATGAAACAGTTTGATATATAAATTGTACTGGTGCACAGTGAGGTAAAGTGATAGATGCTTACGGAAAAGTTGTGCTATGTACCCACCTTTCCACTGAATTGTTTCATAACACGCAGCAACTGTTGTTGAACATATTTAAGCTTATGGATCATTATTTCTAATTATAATGGATAAGTTGTTAGTATCTTAACTAAGTCTAACCTAGATGATATGCCTACAAAGAAATTGGCAGCTGAGAATACATAATACATAAGGTCATTAGATAACCAACAAATTGTTACTAATAGATATAACAGTATTTTTTTGTTTCATATAACAGTCCATAACTGCTAAATTATAAATTTTAAATCTAACTAACTTGGTCATTTGGGTTAGTCTTCACATTTTCCTTTGTCAATTGACTTCTGTCGTCAACAATATTATCTGAGGCCGCTATTAAACAAACCTCTGGTTTAAATATTTTGGTACAGATTTTGTACGTCTGTTTCGCTTTGCATTGATGCTTCCCTTAAATTTGATCCTATTTATTTTTAATTTATTTTGCAAATAGGAAATCTTTTCCATCTGGACACACCTCCGTCGCTATATACAGTGCCGCATTCCTATGCGTAAGCAAACATGTACTTTTTACTTCAAAATTAAATATTAAAAATAGTCGTATAATATTCTGAAATTATCAAATTACTATCAAAAGTGATTACTTTAAGTTAATTTCACGTGAGATTGCACATCGCATAACACTTATTAGTTTGATGTTATTGTCGCCTAAAAGAAACGTATAATGTGTTTTCTGTTAGTGCATACATTACTAGTTGCTTTAGTTGAAATCAGGCATCATGGAGTGTACCTTAAGGCAGTTTTCTCGTAAACTGAAACCTATGGGTGGATACAATAGTGGTAGGTGTGTGTCAGTACTGTATTTTCAATAAAGCAACGACAAAAGTTTATGCAGAATAAGATGATACCATTATTTATTTCCTTGACTGCTCGTCAGCTACGTAAAGCTTGCAAATGTTACATGTTGTCATTTGAAAGGAGGTTGCAAAGAGTGGCACATCTCTGATTTTTAAACATGTTCCAAAAAGCCAACCTCTCAAAGGAACAAAGGCTTACAATAGTGCCATTGCCAAACATTTCATCAGTATGGCAGTGATACTGTTCCAGAACACATTTCTCAGCAACTACAACTGGTAAACGCTGCACAACAAATGAACACTGGTGGGCCTACGAAGGTAACAAGACAGCCAGTGTGCATTAGAGTAGCCGTAGAGCTACGAAAATCTAATCAGTGATAACAAAATACCTAAGATTTTCAGCCTGAAGAGGCAGCGCTACTAAGCAGCACCAGAAGTGATTGGTGTTTCGCACTTGAAAAATCAGTAAACTGTAAGAAATACTGCCCAATAAATCAGATTAGGTTAATTTTTAAAGACTACAGTGTGTGTTATCACTATAGGATTTACTGGAAGCAGTAAGAGCAAATGAGAAGGGAGTTCATTTATTCCAAGTTGCAAGTGAATGGTCAAGAAGTAGTCTACCTGATAGGTACAGGGGCGGCATTCTCTCTAATAGATAATAATCTGTATCAAAGCGTTAGACTATGTGCATCGCAAGTTCAGATGGTGGGCGGACACATTAAATACCAGAAAAATGGCAAACTGAAACGTTCATATTGGGATCACAAATTAACTTTCCCGTTAACTGTTAAGTCTCAGTTACGACGAAAAATACTTGGGACTGTGAGAGGTTAGTGCGGTAATCAACAAGCAGGAAAGAGCTGTGATTAAAAAGTATAGATCTATCAGCATTCATGAAGTTAGCAAAATAGCGATGAGGGTGCGATAAACAACGAAGATAGCAGTGCTAACTAGAGAACACGATCATCTGTTCACTGGAGATGGACGGAGACCCTTACAGTTATTTTAATATGATGAAAATGAAATCCCGGTGACTGGTCAGAAGATGACATTATTCACAATTAGGGAAGTCCCACGTCAATAAGGAGAAGAAGGTGAGTGAAAAATGAAAGAGATGTTAAAGAATTTTATTATTGAAGAAGCTGACTAGTGGCTTCATTGCATATCCCTGCTGAATGTAGAATCGAAGTCCAATGCTGTGGTGGTTAAATCACAAGTTGCATTATTTCCGTGATTTTTAAGTAAAATTTTCCATCATAAAAAGTTTTCTGGCGTATGTAATAGCGGCGGCGTAATGTACATAAACTCCGTTAAACTTGCTGCAATTTAATTCAGAAAATGTTATTTGATAATGATATCTGCTCTCCATAATTGACTAAATCAGTCACTATGTTCGAAAGTGAAACAGTCGTAGTATAATTTGCCTATTTATAAAAACACTCTAACACTCCCGGGATACAGTAGAATACACCGCTTATATAAAGGTAGATGTCGTATAATCGTCAAAGCTGAGGGTCCGTTCAACCCTCTAGTCCTCTCAGCGATAAAAGCAAATAAGAAGTAAAGACGCTGTGTTGAATTCCAAAAGCTCAAAATCATAAAAGAAATAAGGTATTGTCTCATGCCAACTGTAGGGGAAACTCTGGATCGTCCAAAGAGTGCAAACAAGTTAACTGCCCTAGAACTGTCAAACACCAATAACACAAGTCGACACAGGCAAGACGGCATTCATAGTGGGGCTGTAGTTGTGTTTTCTGAGCTAGATGGTCCACTAGTGAAGCTTTCATGTCCTTACTAGGAAGCATCCTCAGCATATACCCCAGTTTGAAGCGAGCTTTAAAATTTATCCATAAGTTTATCAGTCACCTCTCCTGGTAACCCTGATCACTATCGGCTGGTAATATATGTGTTAAACTTGAGCACTGTGGCATTAAGTAATTCCATATTAGTTTGTTTATTAGACGTATCACACAGTGAAACAGTATCATTCACTGGATGACGTTTCGAACAAAATTTTTTATTCATAATCATATCAATTATTGATATACTAGTGGCATTCAAACCAACCACAAACTCAATTAGAAACAAGCTTTGTCGGTTAAAGGTCATATGGAGGCTTTAAAACAAAACAACTTAATTTATCTAATACCCTGAAATGATTGTCAAGTTCAATTAGTAGAACAGGGGCAGTCAGACTAGCCGAGCATAAAAACCTGGCAAAATCTCGATTAATTGACCCGAATAAGATAAGAAATCTAGAGAATAGTTCGGCTACAGCACTACATGCAATTACACGAAACCATACAATAGGATGGAATAAGATGACGGTTTTAAGATCTAATGTAACAGGGTGGAGGGAGAGATTGATAATGGAAGCGTTGTTTATCGAATAAACTGCAGACACGTGTAATAGGAATGATTCAACACCTGTTTAGTCGGACATCTGGAAAATTCTACTACCCCTACGACAAATAGGAGAGAGCAAAAGAACTATAAAACTGAAGTTTCGAAGTTGTAAGATTACAATTGATATGATTATGAACAATAAACTTTGTTCGAAACGTCATCCAGTGAATAATACTGTTTCACTGTGTGATACATGTAATAAAGAAACTAATATGGAATGATTTGCTGCTTTTGTATGTTTTCACACCTTTTGATCCACTTGTATTGGTATTTCTTGTCTCTATGACCTGAAGTTTAACTTTTTGTGCATGAGATTTCCTTTTTGTGGATGGGTAAATCTTGTTTACTTCTATTAGTGTATTATTTGCCTATTCACTTCAATACCAGGCTACCAAAAACTTCCAGGCGTTTTCTTGGTATTTCATTTGTTCGATATTTGAACGTTGCCCTTGTCGAATTGATACCGCTGGTTGTCTGTATGCCGGGATCTGAAGGAGAACGTATCATGCCTTTTGGGAGGCAGATTGTGTTCATGAATGCGAAGGCGAAGAGGGCGTCCACTTTGGCTAATGTAGGATTTTTCTAAATCTTTGTAATTTATTTTGCAGGAGGTATTGGTTTCATCATCTTCCAGTACTGAGTCTTTTGGTTAATATAGAGGTTTTAATAGTCTTGCAGTGATTTCTGAGACGTTCTTTATATACGGTAAGACGATTTACATTCTGTTTTGATTGGGGAACCTTGATATGGTCGGTTAGGTTGGGGAGAGAAATATTTTGTTGAAGTTTCGTGGATATCCGCTTTTTGGAAGACTTCCATAACATTTTTTTCATCAATTTACTTTAATATATGAGTGCTGCAATGAGTCCTAGTAATCTTGCATAGTGTTTGTATATAAATCCTTCTATGTGTTATTGGTTTGTTGATAGTGCAATTAAGTATTTGTGTGACTGGATTTTCCACGAATTCGAGTTTCTTATTTTTCCTATCGTTGTTCGCCTGACTAAGACGTCTAAAAATGGATTCCTGTTCTGTTGTGAATTTGATGTCCTTGAAGATAGAACACCTGTCAGTACTGATCAACAAGATTCTACTGTGAAGTGGAAGACAAAAAGAACAAAGACAGAAATTTCATCTAAGCATGATAGCCAAAATTAAAAAAAACAAAACAAATACGGCACCATACCCTCGCTGACTGCCTAGTCAAGTTAACAAAATAGCCACTATCAAAACAAGTGAATGAAAATATGACACTAGAAGTCCATCAAAAACTGTTATCTTCGGTGTCGTCGAATCTTCACTCACATCATCAAAATGAAGTGAGAAAAAACAAGAAGAATTAGGCCAAACAATCGTACGGATAGTTAAACAGGGAAAAAAACACAAACACAAAGGAACTCCCAAGAAACAACGGCCAACAAAATACTGAAAAGTAATCGTCATAATGCAGCCTGATGGAGGAAAAACTACAGCAATAATAGGCAAAGAAGAATACCCCACGAAATTTCAATGGCAACGCAAACGTGCCAATGCATACACACAGCGTACGTAAATCCCATACGAAAATTAGACAAGGCCATTCAAAAACCGCAAAACGAGCTCAGCTGAAACACGTCATGTCGTGAAAGACACTCGATGACAATTGCACTTTAAAAGTCGTCAAACAGTCTGCGGAAGACTATAGTCTAGTTAAACTGATTAAAAATAAAGCGAGGAAGGCTAAGAGTTGCACTCAGACTTATCTGATATATTTTGACAATTAATATGAGAATAGGATTTGTTCCCTATAGTAGAATATATATCCAATGCAGACACCTAATGTGTATAAACCAATGAGCCATAATACTAAACAACCACTAAAACACAAATGCGAAAACCAGTAGAAAAGCTGAAAAAAATAATATAGCATCTCCACATTACAGAAAATAAAATCAAGACATATAAGCAACTCTCGAAGTAATAACGACCTCTAGAATATCATTGGACTTCATACACTTGTACCACCTTATGAATTTGAATAAGTCAAGAAAAACAGTTTGTACAGAATAAAAGAGCCAGTGGTGGTTAAACTGAAACATGGTTTCATCAGTCGAAGAAATCCACAACAGTTAGTTTAAGCCACGTCGGGAGGTGTAGACTTCCAGATTGGGGTCGTCGAGACGGTAAAATCCGACGATTGGAGACAATTGGTGTTATGGCTCATAACCGTTCTCAATGGTGCAGGTGTTTCACTCTTTGTGTTTTTGTCATATCCAGTAAAATTCCATTGTTCTTCCATATGACTATTCTTATCGCCTCACATTTCTCTTTATCATCTCTCTCTCTCTCCCTCGTTTGAATCTCTCTTAACTCTCTCTTCTTGCTTTGTGTGCTAAATGGAGTGTGAAAACTCAAAACGCTACACATCTGTGCAGTGTTCTACGTTCTAAACCAGCCAGTCAGTAGGATGAGATGGTACCATCATTCATTTCCTTGGCTTCTCATCAGCTGCGTACAATCTCAGGAAATTATTAGTTCTATGCACAAAACGGTTCCAAGATACTTGCAAATGTCACAGGATGTCAGTTGACAGGAAGTTCCAAAGTTAACAAACAGTGATGAGAAAACTACACTTATGTTGGTTTCACCCACAGAGTTCAAATGTAAATGGAAACCAATGTACGCATGCAATGGTAAAGGAGTCACACAACAATGACAAGATGATGAGTAATTAGTAAATTCACTAACAATGTAGTAGTCACATTGGGATAAAAGGAAGAAGGTCACATCTCTGATTTTTTGAACATGTTCCAAAAGCCTACGTTTCAAGTATCTTAGAACCGTTTTGTACATAGAACTAATAATAACCTGAGATTGTACTCAGCTGATGAGAAGCCAAGGAAATGAATGATGGTACCATTTCACTCAACACAAACTGTTATTTTTAGTTTATTTATGTATCGCTGGACTGTTTGAAGTCCAAAAAATCCCTATTTAGGCATTGAGGAAGTTAGTTAGTTTAAATTCACAACGTTTCATGACAATGATGTCATCTTTGTGTATCGTTGAAGTATTCGCAAGACGTTAGAAGTCTGTTTTATCCGCTTCACAGTTTTAACTTCTTCACTAACCGATCTCAGTGACTGAATGACTTTATTATGAGCAATTTAATTTATAGAAGCTCAATAGTGGTTGGCTGGAGTAGAAATTTGAAAAATAGATTTTGGTATATGACATATATGGACATAACAATTCATTGGTTCCTTGGGAGCTAGGTACATAGAACATCCCATGAGTTTCCCTTCAAAACCTGTAAGGGGATACTACCTAGCCTGGATGGATACAGACGGCAATGATTCTAGCAGAAGTGTTATACTTAGGCATCTTGTCAACCACATCACCACACTTCAACCGACTCTTCATTCCGAGTGCTTACAAGGTAAAAAGAAGTCTACCGAAGACTGAGCTTCACACATCTTCGCTATGGCGATGACCTCTCAATTCACATGGAGTAGCTATGTATACAGGAAACTCATTCAACCCTACATCTGGCGTGGAATTAATTGTGTTTACTTTACCGCAGTTCTAACCGTTTAATTCAATTATTTTGTCGTCTTCACTCACAAAATATCACTTCATTGAGTTTCTGTGTATGCCCTATTTTTCAGAGAAATTATTTCATTTAACCATACTGCTAAGCCTAGTTTTTGTGATTAATTTACACCTCTTATCACACTTGAGAGTTTTCATATATTAAAATCAGTCAAACCTCCTAAAAACCTATAAGCTGTAAATATACATAAATGCCATGTTGATCTGATATAAACGGTGAATCAAATATAACATGCCTAAACAATCCTTCAACAAACTTACATATTCATTTAGTATGAATAATAGCATTGCATCAAAATATACATAGTCTCTGGCCTTTTTTACAGACGAGTTTGCCCTTAGCACATAAAAGCGTGTTAGATAACCTCACACAATGTACAATAACTTATAAAAAGTAAGTAATTTTCATTATACTTCAACTAATAAACTGCCGTCTCACAACCACAGGCTGTATGGCAATGCAGGTAGGGATCAATATAGTGGTTAAGAATATACTACGTGGAGATAATATAAAAATGCTTAAAATAAATAAATCATCGTATCCGATATATATATATATATATATCTTTATTACTTTCTGTCGTCGCAATCAATATATGTCATATCTTGTGACGCCGACCCCATTTACGGACTCTTTCGACAGAAAAGTGATTGTTTATATTCTCTCCTCGCCTATTTTCTTAGATCTATGCAAATGAAAAATCACTACTATCTGTAGATCAATTCAGTAATACAATCATCCTGAATTCTAACTACAAGCAAATGATAAATCTTGACAATTGCAAAATAGGTAGTCTGCGTTACTCAGTTATCTACTGCATAACGATTTGGAGGATAAGATAAAGGTCTCTGAGATGTATTTCCTTATTGAAACACTGCCTCAACTTTGAATGTTCAAACACTGAACTTACAATTCCTACATAAGAGAAGGCATTCAATCTGAAATCAACTGACGCATAATTCTAAATATTATTTTTACATCCCTTGCTTTTCGAGAGAAAAGTAAGGGGCTTCAAGCTTTGAAGTTTCAATAACAGTGTTGTTTTACACGGTAAAAATGCTAGCCTCCCACTCAAACTTTGGTCTTTTATGGGCTTACTACTGATGAGGCGACGTGTGGGATTGAGTCACCCGGGAGTTAAGATCGGATCTTCCAGATAGCTGACAAGCATTCTAACATCTTACTGGCAACGCACTGTAAATACATAACCAAGAATACTTTTATAAGGAATCGCAGATTTATTAGGCGTTAGTGAAGAGTGGAATATAATTTTTTTACACTAGCATCAAAAGAAACTCGAAAAACAGTAGTTAACTCCAACCTTTATCAAAATTACTATTCACATCTTGTTCATTGCTTAAACTGTTAAATAAACTTCGCCCTTTTTTAAATTAATTCACTATATAATTGTGTCTCTTCAAAAAATTGAATCATCTAACTAGGTATAGCATATTTCTTACTTCAGCAATAACTCCACATTTCTCATATCTTTCAGATATAATTGATTTTTATCATATAACTACTATTTTAATACTTGATTCCCCAGATAAAGAAAAGAACAAAAGTCAGTTCGCGCATAATCGACACAGTGTGGTTAAACTTTAAAATGTGTACGCTTTTTTATTCACAACGTAATAATTTGTGCTTCAAAGATGCAAACAGAATTTTCAGGTTAGTTTAGAAATTTGATAGGAGAAGGCAGGCAGCACGAAAATTGAGATGAATCATTTATCTCAATAATAGCAGGGACATTTATGCTGAATGACTGTAGACAATCGACAAGGAGTTGAGTGTACCGTAACATACATCAGATAACTGTACCTAAGACTTTACAAACACCAATATTCTACGGATAGCAGCATCAGTAGTACAACGATGAGATCAAGGAATTACTGTCTGCAATGAAGCTGGAAAATGAGGACACTTCCTCCATAATGGAAATCGTTAAGACAACTTGGTACACCAATAAAATTAGATTATGTGGACTTAATAAGAAAAATGAATGATATGACATTACTACACGTAATTTTCGAGACTACTTCACTTAGACAAACATTTCACAATCATCCAAGGTACATAATTTCACACTACAGAACCAAGTAGGTAACATAATTCATATTTAACAACCAAATGCGACATCACCGAAAGACACATAAAGGAGAATAATCAGCTAATCACGAAATATAATCCTAGAGAGTAGATGATGACATACATCCATACACATTCCCTCATAATGCATTTAAATAAATTGAAAATAACAGTTTATGCAGAATGAAAGGGTACCATCATTGATTTCCTTGGCTTCTCATCAGGCGACCCCAATCTGGAAGTCTACACCTCCCGACGTGGCTTAAACTAACTGTTGTGGATTTCTTCGACTGATGAAACCATGTTTCAGTTTAACCACCACTGGCTCTTTTATTCTGTACAAACTGTTTTTCTTGACTTATTCAAATTCATAAGGTGGTACAAGTGTATGAAGTCCAATGATATTCTAGAGGTCGTTATTACTTCGAGAGTTGCTTATATGTCTTGATTTTATTTTCTGTAATGTGGAGATGCTATATTATTTTTTTCAGCTTTTCTACTGGTTTTCGCATTTGTGTTTTAGTGGTTGTTTAGTATTATGGCTCATTGGTTTATACACATTAGGTGTCTGCATTGGATATATATTCTACTATAGGGAACAAATCCTATTCTCATATTAATTGTCGAAATATATCAGATAAGTCTGAGTGCAACTCTTAGCCTTCCTCGCTTTATTTTTAGACGGTTAAACTGGACGATTGTCTTTTGCATATTGTTCGTCTGCTGTCAGATTGGATGATTTAAAAATATATCGCCTAGTATAATTACTCTCCATTTTCCGCAAATCCACACAGCATCATACTTCTGATTGCTATATCGAACCATAGCTTTTGCATTGCTTCTTCTTTCTGACCAGTAAGTAGCTGTTGGTACTGATATCAAATAATTTATTCCTCACTTGAATTGGCTAACATACAGTTTGTAGGAGAGTTTGTGTCGTATAAATTATTTATTCTTCGAGTGAGTTTGCGTAGTTTTATTGACAGTCAACTATCTTTCTTCTTTTTATCTGGCATATACCTTCAACAGAGTATTCAATATGTCGGAAAATATTTCATGCACTCATAGGAAAACCAGTTAGTTAGGGAATGAATCCATGGCAATAGTTTCATCAGATCGTGCAATCAGAATCTGTAGTTCACTTCGTTGCCCGCAATAATTTTCGATTTCTAAGTAGTCTTTTCCAATGAAAAATAACCTTTGTGAGCAGAGGTGTAACGCTCTTCTCCTCGCTTACCTCACCAAATATGTTGTATTGTGATAAAATATTTGAGAATTATCACTTTTAACTGGTCATTAGTCAAATCTAATACTTTCAAGTATACAATTAAAATCCATCTTCGCGATAGAAAAGACTGATATCCGTATATTGATTAAATGTAAGAGCTTTTGCAAAGTATTATTGGTATAATCAAGCTGTGGTTATTACTTTTTAATCAGAAACATCAGGAGTACTAAAATCACCTTAGTGATATGTTGGAAGATCAATTGTTTCTTTGTTGTTTTATAATTCTACAATAACAGTCTGGAATAACTTTTGTATTTTAATTATTTCAGCTTTATGTACAGCTACGATTTGCACGCTATCGTGTTTTTCCTGGAGTCAGAATAATATGTCAAATGATATTCATTGCTCTGGGATTGGTGGTCGGTTACTCACGTATCATAGATAATAAACATCATTGGAGCGATGTGCTTATGGGTGGGATATTAGGATTCCTCTTAGCATTTAGTACGGTAAGTCGAATATCACAGTTTACTGCACCTTTTTTAGATTCATCAAAATCATTATTTACAATACTAATGTTAGTAATAAGACGAATTAGTAAAATTTGTTTAACATTCCAATTAATAAAAGGTCTGTATGTGTATGTATTTGAAGATGTGTAAGCATTCATTTATGCAGAATAAGTTGAATTCAAAAGAGTACCTTCACACCGACGAATTTCAGCAAATATTTTTTTATGAGTGAAATTTAACGCTTTACAAAAAATATTTCAGCGTAAAGATAAAATAATTATACTTCTCTTCTTAAAATACTATTCTTTATAGTGGGTAGTGTACTGATTGTTGTTATTGGTGTTATAAGACTTTAAGGGGGAAGCGTTCAAGTCCAACTTTACTAATTTGAATCTGAGATACTATTCTGTATTGATTATAGCGTTTGTTCATGAGACGGATCAAACAATTTGCTATGTACAAAAACGTGTTGCATAACTCTGCTTGTGATTATATCCTCCTTCATGACGCCTCGTGATTTTACATGCAATATTATAGACTTGTCTGTGGTTTCTCTATTACTTTTGTGATTTTTCACAAAACCTTATATAAATGTAATCTAGAGAATTCAGCGTTTTTTAAGCAGCTGGCATGGTGTAAATTATCTATCCATATGAAAACATTATTTTTCAAGCTGAGTTAAAGGAATGAAACGTCTCTGAATATTTGTTGATCAGTTTGAAGCGTTGTGAAGTATGTTTGTACCGAATTGTCACGCAACAGGTACGCATCGGCTAAAGCTTGATAATGCTACACAGTTGATGAGTGTCACTGAGGTGTTATACAATGGTAGTGGAAAAGAATATATAATGAAAAGTTAAGTCAGAGAACTGTAGAACTAGATGATGGATTTTTAGATAACTGTTTGAATGAATGCGTAACTGGCCAATGGCACAGAAATTTACCATTTCAACAAAGACGACAGTGTGAATACATTCGTCAGAGATTTTGGAAGTTCCAGATAGCTTTGCGAAAATAAGTGATTATAAAGTATGCAAGCGGTTTGTTTTAGTGATAGACATATTGCGAGAAACTTCTAAATTGGATTTGCTGATCCAGGATGAAGTGTACAACGACTCAAGAAGTAAGAAAACTACCATTTAATCGAGATCATTAGCAAAATATGAATAAGTGAAGACATGAGAACACAAGCAAAACAACAGTCTCTTGCGATGAATTTTTAAATGACGCCGTGCTGGTCATAAAACCCAGGAATTTATTAAAAAAATGTAAAAGTAATTTGGTGAACTAAAATACAAAAGTCTAGTGAATAATTGTGAACTTGCGACATTTTATGGGCGATTTGTAGTGAAGATAAAATTACAGAGTTCTATAACCTGCATATTCACACAAGCTGTGATAAATGAGAAATGTAAATATTTTATAATTATTTGTCATAATCTGTCTGGTAAATAATTCCAGTGTACTCATCAAGATAGTTTTGTAAGGCGCTGATTTTAACTATAGAAGTCGCTGATGTTCAATATTGAATCTCACGGAGAGAATCAGTATACAATATCCTACAACAAGTTTATTTTTAACCACTTTAATTTAGCTAATCAAACAATTTTGAAACAGATCATGTATGGTTTGTGTTCTCATGATTGAGTATCAAAAGTCATAGAATTTTGATTTGGTCTTCACTCATGTGATTGAGTATACTCCAGAAACATAGATTATTTAATGAGTTAATTTTTTGGAGTTGGATTGTAGTAGAATAGTTTTTGGTTATGTGCAATTGAGAAATCTATATGTTATCATGAGAACTGAGTAGAGAAAGAGAATCGGATACCTCAGCATCTGTAATTAGAGATAATGGAGTCTACTGGTATAACATTTATTTAATTAAGATTGTTTATGTTTCACGATTCTTCTCGGCATAACAGCCTCTATGCGACTTACTCTTTTGATAGCTTTAAGATTGGTAACATTTAGAATAAGCGTAGATATGATTAAAACATTGCTTGCAGTCGTAGGGGAAATTAACTATTGTATTTTCATTCGTTTGCTGATGTAACGCAGTTCACTGGATGACTTCAGTAGGTTACGTAATTCAATGGCTGAAGCTGATGGTCAAATCTTATGGTTGTTACACTATTAAATGCTTCTTCAACTAGTGAAAAATTACATGATATTTTTAACAGGACTGAGTGAATCTCAGTCGAAATTGAAAGAATTTCAAGTTAAGATAGGTGTAATAAAGAGAAAAGATGTAATATTATAAAAAGGTATATTTGAAGATTTACCATTACTGAATTACAAAAAAGAAAAACGGCCTATCCACTGTTTTCTTTCTGAACATTTAATTAGTTTTGGACACCAAGTAAACTCTCAAAATAATTCGAGAACCATCTATGCAGTTATTTACAAACCTTACCAAGGCTGTACGAACAGAACCTCTTGAAGTCGCAGAAACCGGGGTAATTCATGTGATAAAGCCTGGACACTGAATATAGAGGTTTGCTGACCATCTAAACTTAATAGGTACTTCATTTGTCTAAATATTTACCGCTTAACTTCTTTCTTTTCACTCTACTAATTGTCTACATCCTATCACACTGTTCTGGGCTTGACCTTCTCTCAATGATTTTCTTTTGCTCATCGCAAACTTAAAGGTTCAATTCATGTCTGCTAACTCTGGTCAAGGCTGTTGTTTTCCCCATTGCTCTGGTTTTGTGGGTGTGAATTCACTGTGGATTTTTGGAAAAAAATGAAAGGAAAACTTGGGCGGGATGATGCAATATAATTTATTGTGGAGTTTCTGTACCAGCGCTATTGTAATCGATTTAAGGGTGGAATTAAATGATTTAGTTTATTTAAAATCCTTGTATTGATATATTCCGTGAAGTTAGTTAAATGAGCTAACTTTCGCTTGTTGTTTATGGTACTTTAGTGTTAGCTAAGACATTTAATTTAAAGCTGGTGTTTTTATTCATCTTCAAAGCTCCTGTTTACATGAACTGGTTCCAGAATCTTAATGAATCTGAGTTTTGTACTTAGTAATACTTGGCAACACCGGAAACCTATCTATACACTTAAGTAACATTCTGATACCTCACTTAGCAGTGCACGGCTTCAAACTCTTACAATTTATAACATAACGCACACCAAAAATGTACAACATTAAGTCAAAAGAGTATCAGATTCAGAAATGTATCTACATACTTCAGATCAGTGATAATTTTTTTAAATTTTGATCTCACCTTTTGACGTATAATACTTCGTACTTTCTAATCCTACCTTGTTACAGTAAACTTCCTTAATCGAGGTTAATTTATATCGCTTCAGTTTTCTGGTCAGTAGCTGTTTTATCTATGCGTTCTTGCTTTTGCACGTATTAATTTACTACATTAATCGCACTTTCATCATTTCAGCTGTTCTACCTACCATTTTCTGGCGATGGCACGGGTTCCCTACCTGTCTTCAGAGATGGAGATGATACGTAAGTTTTTTAAATGTCTAAACAACATCTGTTTAGAAGGAATCAGGCGTAGTAGTAGAAGTGGTATATCAAATTAATAATGCATATGGAAGCGAATTATTGATTCACTTCTAAAACACACACCGCCAAAATAGCACTTCAAGCCTCCATACTATTGTCGTAAACGCACACGATTCAAAGATATTTCTTAGAATTCTTGACAAATCAAAGATTGCTCTGAAATTTTAACCTACAAACTCTTCACGAACGAACTCTGCCTGTTAAATGGGATCATATTAATTACAGTGATGATTTTGAAGGTGAATATGTAAATCGGAATAGTCAGAGCTGGTCAACTAAATTAGGGTAACAGAAAACCCTGAGTAATAAACATTCGTTAGAATAAAGTCTAGATAAATAATCATTCTTGGTCAAGCGCTCCAACTTATTATATTCATTTTTTATTCATTTGAACATCAACTTGATACAATATGGACTCTTTACTAATGTGCAAAGCTGAGTGATAAGCAAGTAAAACTGCTAACAGATTTTTTTGTATTAACACAAAGCAAATATAATAATATCTCACAAATAAAACAAATCCAAAATCTATTTTCGCAAATGAAGTAACTCAGTTGGCATACTTTCCCTTTTTTCATTTAAGTTGTCATCCTTTAACACGTTGACAGGTCTTCTTTTCTCAATTTTCTGTTTTAATTTTGTTTTCTGGAATTTCCATTCATCACAATCCTGATTGCTTCCATCGCAATTTTTGTTTCCGACATCGCGCTGTTTGCAAATTAACCTTTGGATACTAAATATTACAACAGTCTAGTTCTAAGATCCTTGGCCAACATGTTGTGAAATGTCATCACTAGGCTAACTGTTATGACACTGATGTGTTCTTTGGTGCATTGTTAAGCGTCATTCAGTAGAATGTCGTGGTTTCGACGACTTGTGGCTACCGATCCAGGTCATTCTTGTCGGTATGATTTTAAAGATGTATAGTATCTTGTCTTGGAGTTTTGTAAAACCGAATGAAAAGTTTTTCGAATTAGTGCCGTTTAGCTTTCAGTATTCAAGGATTCTGTCCGCTGTACGTGTGACTGTGTTCTATGCCACTGTAAAATTAAGTGTTTTACATTATTACACACTAACGATACTCATATCTTTCATAATTTTGAAATTATATCCAAAAGACGGTGAAAGTAGTGACAGTAACTTATAAAAGTATGGTATAACGATCCAGTAGACCTGCACAATATCAACCAATAAAATTATACTGCAATTAGCTCACATATAAGCTGTAGCCAAGGTAGTTATCCATTATATCATCAGTAGTTATTTTTTTCTGAGTGAGTCTGTTTGTACAGATGCCTCCATTCAGTGATACGCTTGCTTAAAACATCGTATTCATGAACAACACGCAACTGTAACTGGAAACAATTTTTTCTGTTTTTCAACATCTTTTAATTGTGTTTATTCTCTCTCTAATACATACTCATTGTATTCTGTTATATTACTTACTGGATATGTGTTTCTTAAAAACGTCATCTACTTAACTTAAAGGTAGATTCTATACATCCAAGTTTATAACTGTTATCATCACGGTCATCATTCTTCTTTTTCTTGTTCTTGTTACATGTATTATATTCTATAGCAAACATTTTCCCTTCAGTATGTGTTCTCAATATGGATCGATAGGTAGATATAAACACATATTAGGTTAGTTATCAGCATAAATTATAATTAGTTGTGTTCATCCTTGTGTGCGTGAATGTGTGTTTGGATTTGTGTGTCTGTGTGTGGCTGTGCATACACCACTATTTTTACTTTTGGTTACAGCTAATTTTCTCTTCATTATACAGCCAACAAACAAAGGACGTTTAATGAGGTATAGAAATGTTTGTCATTTCACTTTTGGCATCAATATAGTTTCTAAAATGCAAATGAAGTTCACATGAATCTTTTTGTTTTCTAAAGTAAAACACCATTGCTTTTTATAGAAGTCACTTCTTTCTTTCTTTACATAAATCATCACGCGTCTCACTTAGATACGGTATTCATATTGGTGTGTTTATCGTATTTAGCTTTTGTAGAATATCTGTTCTAATTTCGGTTACTGTCTTTTAATAGTGGTTAATTTTTTTTGTAAGTTTTCAGTGGTTGGTTCATTTACTCCATTTTTTAAAAGTTTTCTTTCCACTGGTTTCACGTTTAGATAAGTGGTGAGTGCCTCAGCACTTGAATAAATTTGTCGAAATAAAAATTAAAAAGGCTAAGCAATAGTTTGTGCTTTTCTAACAGTTGCCTAGGTGATGAAAAATTACTCAGATTTTGGCAGATCATTCAAGTATTAGATAGCTCTTTACAAAGATCAAAAGTCTAAAGGTTTCATAAATCTGAATAAAAAATTAAGCTTAAGAAAGTACTCTCAGCAAAAGCTTTGAAGGAAGTATTTTAATCCGAGAGAATCTTTAGTAATTCCATATTAGTTTGTTTATTAGATATATCACACAGTGAAACAGTATTATTTACTGGATGACAAGGTTTCGAACAAAATTTATTGTTCATAATCAGATCTTTAGTACAATATAATCTAATAACCTTGTAAACTATTTCATAAAACTTTGCTTACTAATTCCTCAAGTAATACAGGGAAAATCTATGTTGTGTAGACTTTTGAATCGTGGTCTACACCAGACAGTGTAGTACCGAATGATGTTTCTGACCTCGCTTTAAGAGGCTGAGTATTAGAAGTTTATTTATTTTACATACTTCGGGGTATACTAAGACCAATTTTTATGCAATGAGTAGTCAGTGAACAGTTATAGACTCTGTTCTTCATTAGGTCATAGGTTTGGTGATTATGTATCAGTAATTCTCTAATTGAAACCATCATTCTGCTCTTTACAGACCAACCTGTTGATTTCCTAACCGTACTTTAATTTTATCTAAAATCTAAGTTGATAAAATTGTCAGCCTTTGTGTGTGCGTGTGTGCATACCTGGACATTTTGCCCAGAAATTTACGACAAGCAGATTTTTTCCATTTGTTTACTGCTGTGCTTTTAGATGCCTAACAATGTTTGCTGTGTGTACGGTTTAAAACGTTGTACCTCACTGAATTGTGACGAAATTTATAACATCAGTCAATACCACAAAGATCCATTTGAGTTTTAGTGATCTAAGATTACTGTGATAGTTAAACTTCAAAATAAATGTGTCACAAACTGAAAAGGCGTGTAGCTTTTCATCTCTTATGCTTTCGATATATATAGCAGTCGTTTATGGATTAGCTCACACACACACACACGCACAAAACACCAGATTTGTTACTAAAATATGAACACATACAATCGTTTTACTTATTGTTCATTACGATGGATGTGTGCAATAATATTATCGACGTTGATCTTGAGCATGAATTATTCGATTTTTGATTATTGTCTCTGTTTGATAATGTGTGATCTTAACTCTTCTAAATTGGTTTTTATTGGTTATCTCAAGGTAACAGAGGTTTCTGAAGTTAACTCTTAAATAACTTGTTTGTTAATCAGTATGGGTTGTGCATTAACAGTCTATTGGTGTTTCACTCTTAGTTCATTGTGCTATCACTATCTGTATTAAATTCAGTCACTGATTTTTTACTGAATCAGATCTTGAAGTAGTACTTGCTTGAGTAGACTGGAAACTATTGCCTTTGATTTTCATTCTTTGTCATTAACGGTCATTCTGGGAACTAACATCAAAACTAAGGAAGATACACCAAAAAGTGCACCGATGTAGTTCCACTTACACACCACATCGGATCCTCTTTCAATACGAAATTAGGACTAGAAAATCATTCGGCAACTGAATATAAGTTGTTTCCAATACAGTTGAATTAGTTCATTATGATATTGAATAATGCCCCTTTTTTGTTGAGTAGTAACCAATTAGGCTGATGACTAAACTGTAATAAAAGTGTAAATATATTGTTTAACTGAAGTTGATAAACAGTACAGACGTATTTATTAACTTTATTTCTGTTTACAAATACTTTGATAAACCCTTCTGTTTTTACCCTTTTTTTGATTGCAGGGAAGAAGGTTACGAATGCGGAACTTCAGCTTTCAGTCCCGACAAGATTTTGCGATAGGTTAGTTGTATTGATTTATGGGCAGTGTTATTTTTTGATTTCATTTGAGTTGTGAATAGCAATCATAATGACTTCACCAACTTTGACTTCCAGCTATTCACTAAGCCACTGTCAGTATATGGCGCATAGGGAGTTATATTCTGAGTTTGTTGAGATATGTGGAATTCATAGTTGTGTACTTGTTGCCCAAAATTGTTTCCTTCCACTTATAGTATTTTATTCATTTTGATACCTTCTTTACCTTGTTGTTTTTTTCTCCTTGTTTTGTTAACGGTTGCTATAGTCTGTGTTAATCGATTTTAATGTAATTATATATACTGTGTCTTTTCATTTGTCTATCTTTTCTCTTCATCTGCTGAATTTGACAGCTGACATATGACTTTGTAGATAGCTTTTGTCTTATTATCTGTTTAAACCAACACAGTAACAAAAAAGGCCTGAATTTCACACAAATTCATCGTCCTTACAGTTAAACATTCTAAAAATTGAAGCTTTTCACTTCAAAGTGATGGGTCTCAATGACAGTGGAAATTACAGTTTTGAGAGAATAATTTTATCAGGTAGATAATGTATTTCTCCAACTTTATTCTGACTATGAATAATAATAAAAAAGAATACACTAAGCTGCTAATGCCTCCATAAATAAACATTCGATTTCATAGTAGGTCTTAAGTGTAAATCATATTTTTGTCACTTAATATTGATTGGTATGTTGTTCACATTTCGCCATTCGTGTAATTACACACTGACACATTTGCGCTACAATCAGTGGTGAAAATACAGAATTTAGGAACAGGTGTATGACGTTGTTAATTTTCGTTTTTATCATTTCTGTCGAAGCGAGGAACAGAGAGAGAGAGAGTCCTGTGCTTAAGCACTTGGTTGTTAGTATGTCAAGTGACACGTAGTTATTTAGCGGTGGGGGTGGAAGCATATGCATCTGGTTGATGACCTCTGTGTATGGTGGGTGAAATCGTTTCATCACAATATGATAAAACAACCATTTACTAGACCTTATTTATGCTGAAATAAATAAAGTTTAGGATGACTAAACAATGTAGTACTGCTTTATTGTTCTTTTGACTTGTAGAATATGACTGTATACCACTAAACTCTCTATGTCCTAATATTTCTAGTAGCTAAGTAGTATCACTGGACATCTGGCAATAGATGTGGATGACTGTCCACCACACTAACCTACATGCGGTTGTATATATCTTATCTCCATTTACCTTAGGTCAATGATATAGTTGATGATTGATAAGGTTCCCATCGTCCTAGTAGACAAAATATTTTTTGTGTTAGGAGCTGCATATCTGAGTGTACTAAAGCTGTGAATGTGAACTTTTACCTAAGTTTCTTGAGTGATTGTCTTAATCTCTGATTTCTTACTGTCGTTATAATCTTTAATTTGACTTTCTCTGTAATGTTTTCTACGAATAGATAAGTTATCTTTTGTGCATCTGTTGATTGGTTTCTGATGTGATCTGCAAATATTTGTGTTTCTTTCGGGATTTCTGAGATTTCATTGTTCTTAAGCCTCTATACACATTCAGCCACGCTAGATCATTCTAACAATGCCCAAAACCTGTTTTATTTCATCGTTTACACAAAGCTGTCTTACTGCTCATGTGTTAGTTATGCGTTATACTTGTTTAAAACGAGAAGACATCTTGAAGGAAACATGGATTTTATGACTCCACCCAAACTTAAAGCTCTCTTCTCAAATCATTTGTAACAGCAAAATTTGTTGTCGGAAGACCTGTCACTTAGTGTGACGATTAGAAATTATGGTGATAGACATCAGAAAACATTTAGCGCTTGATGTAACTGTGTACATCTACAGATCTCCGCACTCTCCGTTGAAATGGTGGCGTGAAAATAAGTAGACAAAGGAAGGTAGGTATCTGAAAGCAGCCATGTTATAAGTTATGAACATTCATAAAGGACTGAGAACAAAGATGTTGTCCATATGAATAAGTATAAGCGTGAAGTAACTGGCTCACTGCCATCAATTTTGAGCCATAAAGGAGACGACTCATTGAGAGTTGTCCATTCTGATGGTAACAGAGGTTGTGGTTACTGGGAAATTCTGCGTCCTATTAGAACAGCCAGGTGGTTCTTTCGATCTATCAGCGATCCCTAATCTAAATACTTCAATTTTTTGAGACTAATCTATCTAGCGACATACATAGGTAAGTTCTTCAACTAGTGAAGGGGATTTGTAGCTAAAGCGGATATTGTATTCTGTTTTCTCTGAGCTGGATGGTTTAATTACGAAACTTTTAGTTGTCATTCTGGACAACATCTGTATGTAGAATATTTGAGGGAAATGTCAGATTGTTTCCGAATTATGTGCTTAAATTATTTTAAAATAGCAATGTGTGTGTAACTCAAACCTTCATAATCTAATAAATATGAGGTTAGTGCGCTGGTCTGATTTAAAGCGCTAAATTTGCAAAGTATTTACCGATCGCACAGACCCAAGTGATAAATTTCCAACCGACTGTTAGTGTTTCTCAGGAGGTTCATTAAAATCTGTATGATCAATGTTTGGAGCCTTATCAGACTTAATTGGTGGATAGCGACTAGCAGTGGAATCCAGGATGCGCATTTCGTCCTATTTGAGACTCGTCAATGGATGTACCTGCATTCCAAAGTGAGTGGCGATGTTCCCACCGAGGCTCGAACCCAGTACCCATAGTTTCAAATGCCAGGCGTTATCCACTAGACCACTCGGGCGACGAGAGCCACCTCTTGTGCAACGGGTCATATTAATGTAATTGAATTTTAGATTCGATTGATTGGACCGAAGTGCTCGGTCTCAGGTTGACATTTTGGCTTCTTGTAGAGATGCTCTGACGATGTCTGGGCATTTAGTTATGAGCTAGTGTTGAGGTGTGTATAGTTTTATTTAGTCTTTTACCTAACCACGGTGAGCATATTCAAAAATTCGGCATAAACATTAGTGTTTCTAAGACTTCGATTCACGAGGGATCTTAAAATTAGAATGGTATCCCGATGTCTGAAAAGGACTTCTAGTGAATATAAGTTGTGCTCTTCATTGACTGGTCAACCAGCACTTAGTTCATGGAAATGATTTAAACTGACTAATTTCGCTCCTTCCATGTGTATGTATTAGTTTCACTGCTTCCATAAAGCTAGTTATGCTGCGTATATATATATATATATATATATATGGTACTGTATAGGCGTTAATGATTAACCAACTGAATTAATTTTCCACTATTTCTAAAACAGAAATTAGTAAACCAACTCTTAGTTGTTCTCTCAGTTTGTTATCTGATAATATGTGCTACTTCAGCTAATACTGATCGATGAAAGATGTGTAGTATGAAATCACTTGCTGCATCACTATCGTAGCGCAGAACAGTTAAACGTTATTCTATTTTAATTATTTTACTACTATTATTATTACTTCACTTTTGCATGTCAATTCACTACAGTTTAATCATTTTACTTTTAAATATAGAGACTCAATAAGTCTTACACATTAATTTATTCATTTTAACCCACACTCATAATTTATTTAATAAGACTGATATTTTATATTCTTAATTTCGTTCTTATTGTAGTCAGTATCGTATTGATTACTGATGATGCTCAACTCCTGAACAGAATAAACTGCTGAAAGTGCACTCGTGTATTCAATATGCTCATATATATGTATATCTTTTTTATTACCTTCAATTTCATTAAAAACTATTTTCTTGTTGTTTCCTTTTTTTTAACTGAGATTCATTAATCTCTTGTTTTTATGATTAACTTCAATCCAGTGCTGTTTGTGTTTCATATGGCATTATTGACAGAGAGAAAGAGAGGGAGAAGAAAGTTTTTATTACACTATATGAATTTATTCTTTTCAGACAACAAATTACAACGCATGATTGATGCGATAATGATTTTTTTTTTAAATACACGTGGTTACTGCTGTGCTTACACTTCTTATTATTGCTAAAATTACTTTTGCAAAAAATTCATTCAAAGTATGAAAATCCCCATTTCATTTAATTAAGAACACATGAGTCAGCAAAGAGATCTCTTCTCGTAACTTTACTTCAAAGTTCTACTACATTTACTGGGGGCGTTTATGTAAACAAAGCTAACTGATAGCAGAGGTCAAAGGTTATTCTCAGTGAGTAAAGAAGCAAATCAAGGTACATGAGTTATAATTATATATTTGAAGAATTGAGCATAATCTTAACTAATCAAGAGGATTTATAACTAATTAGTTGAATGATGAAAAGTCGCTTGGACAAGAGAACAAAACACAAAAAATAAGTTGCAAAAGCCTAAAGCGAACTCCATAGAGTTTTTGTACAGTTATTCAGTACAGGAAAAAAGAGGGAATGAAAACAGGAAAATGGTACCAAGGCCATGGTGGTAAAACATCCACTCATCTGGATCATAATTCTACGGTAGTCATGGTTTCGAAATCTACTTTCTCGTTCTGCATATGCTTGAATTGGACGTGGGAATTGAGAGTGTAGATTTCTCTGATTAATCCGAAAGTTTTATAATAGGCTACACTGGGTTTATATTAGTAACGAGTTTAAATACTGACTTGATGCTTATACAAGCTGAAGCAGCCTATCTTAGGAAATTAAAGGCATTTTTTTGCGAACGAATATTCAGATCATTTGTGACATAAGTAGCTGCTGTAAGTGGGACATAAAAGTAAGCGGAATTGTGGAGGAATAAGGTCACAGATGAAAAGCCAAGGAGGTAGGCTGTATACGCAATTTTTTAATCTCATTTTCGCAACGTATGAAATTTTACTTCTAGATTATAACTTGTATGGGTATTTTTCTGTGTATTAGTTCAAAAATATAACTGTACACAGAGAAAGAGAGCAAAATAAGGCTAACAATAAAGAGGGAAGTGATGAGTAACTATCTTAAGTTCCACCACGTTCATCAACACACATAGATATAGGTAAGTCTGGTTGATTAATCCGGCAAAGATCAGAACACTGCTTTAAATTTCAATAATATCCATGTAACAATGATTCCATTATGGATAAAATTTTATTTTGATAAGGTCACATAGTGTTGTACAGTAATATTTACTGATGACATTTTGAGTACAATTTATTTTTCTCATAGTCAAATCAAGTCACTACTCACGCAACTTTTTTGCTTCGTTTATATTCGGAGCAAGAAGCTTTCCATCAGGCTTCCGAGTGGTGTATGTGTGTACTAGTTTCTAAGTTTAAAAACTGATATAGTGTGGTAGGAAGTTAAGTGTTGGCTGAATTCAGAAGAAATGACCTAGACACGCTGCTCAGTTAGGAGGAAATCACTCAAAAAATTATTGTGCAGTGAATACCATATCTGCAACTTTATTTTGCCAACGCAGTAAGAAAAATGAGTACTAAACTACTTTTTATCAATAGTTTTAGTGATATGAATACGAAGAAGGTGTAAGTGGTGCATGATTATGTATGGGATATTAGATATATTTATGTAAAGGTTTATGACAGGAACTTGATGTTCCGAAAGAGAGCTGGGTTTACGAACTATCGGTTAAATATATGTGATATCAAAGGTGGGCTAAAGTTCTATGAGTACACGAAACACTCTAAATATAAACATTTATGCAAAACAAGGTCACCTGTAATAATGTAGGACTTTGAGAAGGACCATGTCTTGCGACTGTAAGACTACCAGAGAGTTGGGACTTAGTTTTAGTGCTCTGCTAACAAAGAACCTTAGGATATGGTTGCTTTCAGTGGGTGGCAAAAGCTAAGATAGATTTACTCGTGAACTTGTACTGTTTCATTTTTTGTTTTTGGACAGATGTGAGGAAGTTCATCGGTACTGATTCTCTAAACACCATTTGGATAAACGTTACACAATAATAGATGTTGGAATTTCCGATTCTCTTTCTTTACTCAGTTCTCATGATAACATATAGATTTCTCAATTGCACATAACCAAAAACTATTCTACTACAATCCAACTCCAAAAAATTAACTCATTAAATAATCTATGTTTCTGGAGTATACTCAATCACATGAGTGAAGACCAAATCAAAATTCTATGACTTTTGATACTCAATCATGAGAACACAAACCATACATGATCTGTTTCAAAATTGTTTGATTAGCTAAATTAAAGTGGTTAAAAATAAACTTGTTGTAGGATATTGTATACTGATTCTCTCCGTGAGATTCAATATTGAGCATAAGCAGTTCGATTGTGTAGAAAAGCACTGGCTGTAACATCAGTTTATTTCACATTATTTCATGAAGTATTAACATGATTATGAAGATTACCACGTTCGTTTTCAACAAGTGAACTGTCAGTACATCTTTCAATTAGCCAAAAGTTCTTAAATACTTTGTTCTTAAAGCTCTGTTTGAAAAAAATAATCTAGGGTACCTATGGAGTGTTGGTTCATTCATGTGTTTCGAGAATTTTTACACACCAAAGGAATATTAGTACTTATCAGTAGGTAAACAAAAGAAATTAGGATGACAACTGAAGTTAACAAAGTACAGATATGAATGAAATCATGGCATTTTTCATTATCCTTGATCACTACGTAATAGATGTGATTGTAGAGAAAAATATTATAATAACAATCATTAACTCCAGCATCCAATATTTAATTCTATATACTCTAGTTAAATGAGATAATAATACAACTACTAAATACTTTCATTAGTCCCAGCCTTAAAATATGAAAATCAGCTACATTGGCGTTTAGTCAATAAATAAATATGAAGAGACAGTAGTGTGGAGTTCATACTAGTACTAATATTACCAATTAAAACTGTAATACCTATTTTACTGCATCATTCACCTGCAACGCAAATAAAATTCAGCGATGATGAACAAGTGGATAAATGAACATACAATAAACAGGAAATTCAAATTAGGCCAAACCAGGAAATAATTATGATATCAAATTAGCAATTTATGCAAATGAATTTTAACAGCAACACACAGTCACACAAATGATAATTGATTATTACATACACTCGAAATTAAACAAAGCTGCACATAATTATATTGAAGGGATGCAGAAAAAGAGATGTATAACAGAACGTTGTTTAAGCGTAATAGACGTTGTTGATAATTGATTCGGTCATCCGGCCCATATAAAGATTATTTTTACTTGCTAGTTAATCAGAGGTATGTTGTTTAGGAGAAGAAAATGCTGTTTTCACATAATTCTCGTGTCACCGTAAGTTTGTATGGAGCTTGCGTCTATTTTCACAGCAACATTGTTCAGCCACGTCTTCAATACTCCATAAAACAAGAAACTTTAGCTCAGCTGATACATGCTGTTTATTTACTAACCAACTAATATTTTGTTCACGAAATAAAAACACACTAATTAATTTATCCTCTTCTATGTGTATTTATCAGTTTAACTGCTACTTGAGATTCAGAAAGTTCACTGTTTCGTTTCTCAACATTTCCAATCTTGATGTTGTTGTGTTCTCTGAGTTGGATGGTTTACTTGGGAAGCCTTCATTACCCTGCTAAGCAACATCTTCAGCGCATACCTCAGTTAGAAGTGAGCTATGAAATTTATCCACAAGTTTATTAGTAATCTCTCCTGGTGACCCTGAACATGAATAAGAGCAGCCGATCACGTTCAGGGTCACCAGGAGAGATTACTAATAAACTTGTGGATAAATTTCATAGCTCACTTCTAAATGAAGTATGCGCTGAAGATGTTGCTCAGCAGGGTAATGAAGGCTTCTCAAGTAAACTATCCAGCTCAGAGAACACAACAACATGAAAATCATCTACGTGAGCTACAAATCTCCTTTATATATGTTTCCCATCTTGGATAGACAAAGGACCGAATAAAGCTCACCTCGTCGATACTAAACACAAGATAGATACTAGTAAAGCTTTTAAGCTTATTTACCGTATTTCATTCAACATTTCATATGCTGTACCAATATGACTTTTGCATAAAACAGAGGTAATCGGAGTTGTTTTTAACCAGCTAAATACTTGTGTTTAGAAGAAATTTGGGCAGCCGTGTTCCTTATCGTGGTCATCCACATAATATCTTTAGAGTATTTCAAATCATTATTGATATAAGTATAAAACTTGGGGACTGTGGTAGAGTGTAACTGCATTATGGATAAGATTTTATTTTGATAAATCACACAGTGCTATACAGTGATATTAACTGATATTGCTGTTAACATTACTGTATAACACTGTGTGATTTATCAAAATAAAATCTTATCCATAATGCCGTTATTTCAAATGTTTTGCATCAATCTCTGTAGCTATTATTTGACATTGTTATTTCAATTTGATTAATGTTTTAGCTAATTAAGTTAACTTGTTATCACTGCACAATTCGTTAATTTATCCTTTTTATTTATTATTGTTACAAATTATTGATCATGTAATAACTTGGTGTTAACCTATACAGATTAAATGATCTTGGATACATTACATTTATATATATATCCTGATCGTGTTCACATGTGGTGTGGGGACATAAAACTTTTTAAAATAGTTTTAGACTAAAATAGCCACTGTTGAGAAACAAGTTGAAAAGGATAATAATTAATCATCTAACTGTCTGGTCTGTTAACGTGTGTAAATGAGAGGTTTTAAACATGCACATGGTCCGAGGTTCTATCCTCAGCCGATGCACTCCTTTACCTCGCTGAGCCGGAAATAATGCTGGTAAAGAGAAAAGGTTGGGCATGAGTCTAGCAACCCCATCCTGTAAAATAAAAGCTGCTACAGAAACTTCAAGCCACTAGCTTGAAGCCCTATGTTCCACTGGGGAACTTGAAGGAAAAAATAAGATGACGTTTCGAGTACAATTTATCGCTTTAAATCAGATTAATGAATTCACATGACTTTCTTACTCCTGTTTTTAATTCATTTTCTGTGTGTATTATCCCAAATAAACTTATCTTATACGGAATTTTTTACTGACATTCG